ATAATGAGGGCTTTCTTCTTAACGTGTCAAGATAAATTTTAGCTCTTTATAGAGTCCTAAATCCCTGAATTAAGCAGCTGTATTAACCTAAGACCTCCTTAAAAGTACTAAGTGGGTACACTGCTAATGGAGCTGATTTATGTATTTATGCAAATGCAGTGGCTGCTGTTAAGCTAACTTTGTATTTGAATATACAGGGATTATGTCCTGTGACTGCAAGGAAGTATGACTAAGGGCATCTGCAGTCCCAAGTATGAGCCAATAAAGTGCTTTAGCCAGAAGTGCTATTGTCTGAAATATGTAAGAGAAGATGAAACTATAAAAGAAATACGATACATAAATGGTGTATTAATTGTAAGTGATTGGACATATGTTGTCTGTCTAACCTAGCAGGTCCACAAAGCGCCTGTTGTGACTGGAATTTCACAGAGGCCTGTCCGAAGTTAAATTTGTGCAGCACAATGAATAGCTGCATTTGCAATGAATAAGAAGAATGTAAAAAATGTTAAATAGTGTTTTATTGCAGATTTAGAATGAGAAATGACCTGTACGCCTGCAGAGTGGAGTTAGTCAAAAATACTTCAAATAGTTGTGCCTCGCAGTCATTCAAATACCATGTGCTCTGTCTACCAGAAGATGGTGCCCTAAAACGCAGTCAAAAATTTCAGCTTTGAAACGCTATGGTCGACTGTAAATGAGTATATTTAAAAACATGGGAGAATAAGGTGATTTGCAAACAAATCGCCTAAGTCCAAGTACATATTAATATCCAAACTTTACATTCCAAAAAGCTTGCGTAAAGTTATCACAACACAAATTAACAGACAGGACCCAAGCATGCAAAGCAAAGCAATGGAAAATACAAGACCACTATCCCTTGCATTAAAACTAAAACTTCAGTCCCCCCACCCTAAACAAAAACATTCCTCAGCATAATTTTTGTATGAAATTCACAAGGGTTTTGGTGGTTTGCTTTGTTGAGGGTTTTTTTTTTAATTAAACTTGAAACAGACCAGAGAAAAAGGACAATCACTATATTCCTCACCGAGAAACCAATCAGCTTTAAAACTGGAAATCAGAACAGTAAATCCCTGAGTAATAAGAAGCCTTATTTACCTTCTGGCATTCAAGGTGTAATTGCACTGATTTCTTTAAAGCTGGAGACAAGGAGGAAAACTGCAAAAACTCAGGTAGCATCTAGTTCAGTAAGCAAATCTGTACAGTAGCTTCAAATCATTAAATTGATGAAGTGAGACAAAGCACTCCCCTCCTGCACTGTGTCAGTAGAACCACATATGATATAACATACACCACAGTACAAGCCAGTAGGATTTCTGCCATTGTCTTCAATAGAGCTAGAATTTCACTGGTGGACTCTTACATGGACATGTTCTCTGCTTTGTTGGCATTAAGCTGTTAGCACTCAGGAACACAAAACCCCCAACAAGCCATTAGATTTCCCCTGCCTGCTGGCTTGGGCAGCCTTTCCTTAAAGGCACTGGCAATTAGGAGAAACAGGAGTGTGCTGCCTGCGAGGCCCAGCCGGCTGGTATTCACAGATCAATAACTCCACCTGGCTTTTTTGCTCCCTTTAAGTCTCAAACAAAGGAGTTTAACAGAAGCAGCTGGCTTTCCTTAATATCTGGTTTACTGATATAACTTAAAATCAGGCGTAAGGACTGCCACCCCAAATTAAGAAATTAGGTTCAGCTTTTATAACGCTCTATGACAGCTCTTGTGCTCTTGGTTGTGGAAGTGAGTCTTTTTGAAATATATGTATTTTAGTGCTGGTTGTTACAATTCAGCAAATGTATTTAGAATGAAGTGAGGATTGCTGAGCTGTAACTTTTGAGTTTTCTAGTACATAAGAGTTAGGAGAGTGATAGGGTACTTATTACAGCAACAGCAGCTTCAACTCCACACTTTTTGTTTCCACAGCCCAGCACATATGGTCCTCTGTGAGAAATGCAGCACTGCTCAAGTGTGCTATGTACCACTGCAAGCATATTTATTTCACCCATGTGGCCTGCATCTGTGGCTATGGTGTGGATAAATGTTATGTTCATTACGTGTATGATAGAAGTACAATTTACTGGTGAAGAGGGGGTCTGTTGTATTATCCCTGGAGCAGGGCTGAGGTGGGAACACAGGGATAGTCTGGCCCAGGGCTACACCAGGCTCATCTGGGCCTGGCTTTGAGGATTTACTTACAGAGCATAAGCCCTCAACAGTAAAAGTAAATGATTTTTATCATCTGATTCACATTACTTACTAAAAAAGTGTTTCGTTATATTCTCCATATTCTCTTGGTCTCCTGTATGGTTTTCCCAGGAGTTCATCCTCAACATGCTTTAATGACTTAGGTAGCAAGAGACTTGCTACCACAGAAACCTGCTGCTTGCTTGCAATGGAAGCAATATAGACCTGTGCTGCCTCAAAAGGTGGGAAAAGGGCCAGATTTCTGGCTCAGAAGGGTAGAGCTACAGGACAAGGAGCTTCTGCTGCAGCTCACACTTCTGACTTCATGCAGCATCAGCTCTGCAGTTCTTACTGTAAAGACAGACATTCATAATGCTTCCATGCATGAGCATATCAGAGGGGCCTCCCAATATGCCCTACCCATTTCTAGATTAATCGTAAAGTTATCTAATGTTGTGAAGTTTTTTAAAGCAAAACAAAAACTTAATTTTTCCTTACATGTGCTCTGATGGACCAAGTCCCCAGGTTGTCCACGACCCTCCCCTAGTTTCTCAGGAAGACAACCCTGTAAATATCACAGTAGGTGGTTCAAAGTCTGTAACAGGACAGAGCATCCTAGCGCAGGCTCCAGGAAGGGCTGAAGAAGGAGCTCCTATGCATGAAGGCAGCAGTTGATGAGACACCCACTGTCCCAAACAAACACTGTGTGGAGAACCAGGTGGGGTAGATGGAGAGCTCAGGTTAATGGCAACTTCCATGTGCTCTGTGAAGGAACCTCTCTTTGTTCTTGGTGGGTGCAAGCCCACGCCATGTGGCTAGCAGCACAGTTTGTGTCTTTGCTGACAGCTTTACCAGAAAGCCCAACGCTTGAATAAGACTTGAACTACTGCTTTGATCCTGCTCTGTGCTGTGGCACATTTGCTGGGAAGCTTTTGCTGCTGGTCCATGGGCCTGCGCTGTGTTAGCTGGAGCAGGGACGGCATGCACCAGGACACAAAGCTGCAAGAGGTGCTTCCAGCCATCACACACCTGCAGACTACAGGTGAAATGTAACTTGTCCCACAAGTAACACCTTGTTTAGGAGATTGGCAGAAAGTGCAATGAAAGATGTGAACATATATTAGAAAAGAACACTTGGCTCCCAAGATCGTTTGTATTGGCACATGGATGATCACATTCACTGTGACTACCTCTCCCATGTCTGATAGATTTGCTTTTCATGTCTTGCTCTATGTATTTATATGATTTGTTGGATTTCCACCCCCCTGCCACCCCTCCACACAAACAGATTGCCAGTCAATTGCCCTCCACACCTGGGGACATTTTTGAGTACACAATTGCTTTTAATGTTTAATTAGGTATGGTAACAGGATAAAATGTTCTTGGCAGTGTACAATGGCTATAGCTCAATATTGCAACGTATTTCTCCCCTCTCAGGGCGCCCAGCACCTGGCAGTGTGAGAACATTGTTCAGGTACCCATTGTTACGGCTTTGTCAGCATTTCTGCCATTACCACAATGATCGTTAGGGATTTCAGCTTAGTTGCAATAAAATTAACTGTAAGGTGCTGGTTTAGTACGGGAGTTCTCAGTTCAGTAGCCGTTTTGGGGGTGTTATTTTCTGGCAGCCTTTTTTGTGTATGTACAGATGTAAATGGCAAGCAGCGCTGGGTCTTGTTACCAGATCAACAGATGCAGCTCTTGAAAAGTTACACAGTAGCTTGCTTTCTTAAACTCGTGTCAATTCATAGATTGCTTTAGGCCACAATATGTTTATCGTATGTCTCGGCACTGTCTATAAAAGAAAACAAGGAGGCTACCTAACTGCTAATGGCGATCAGCTGCGGTGCGGACCGTGGGTGCTGAGCGGGTCACCGGCCCTGCTCCGCGGTTACGCACACGTGTAAGTCACGGGCAGCACGGCGCTGACCGCAGCCCCCGGCCCCGAGGTCGGGGGATCGAAGGGGGCACCCCTTTCCGAGGGTCCCGCCGGCAGGTTCCGTGGAGGGGCGAGGGCAGCGGAGCCCCCCGGGGAAGCGGGACCCCACCGGCCGCCTCCCCGACAGACCCGTCCGTGCGCGGCCGCCCTGGGTGCGCTCCGCCGAGCCCCCGGCTTCCCGGTGACAGCCCCGCTGGCCCGCGGCGGCACAGCCCGACAGCCAGTCCCGGGCAGGGGGTCTTGGCCAGTGCCGGCCATGGAGAAGAGCGGGCGGCGCGGAGGGGAAGCCGCGAGGAGCGCCGCAGCCGCCCTCTCCCAGACTGACTCGGTGAAAATCATTGTTTGGCTCCAGCATTAACTACATTCCAGCGGGACGCAGCGCCCAGTCTCCTTCCTCGCATTCCTGCCCCACACAAAGGAGTCCCTGCCTCGCCGCATCCAGCGCTCCGCTCGCCGGGCCGCAAAGCCCCTCCGTGCCGGCCGCCGCCTATCACCCCCCGCCCCGGGGGTGCCGGCCGGATCGCGGCCCCTTCGCGAGGCGGCCGGCCGGGGGCGGCGGGGGCAGGGAGCCGCCGAGCGCAAATTCCTCCGCGCAGCGCGCCATTGACTGGACCGAGCAACTTATTTAAGGCTGGAAAGTGACACAGGGGCTCTTCATCTCTGCTCGCCGCACTCCGCCGGGTAGCCCGGCTGTATTGAGACGGGGATGCCGCCGAGGTGACTGCCGCCTCGCCTGGCCGCCGCCTCGCAACCTCCAGGCCAGGGAGCCGCGTCCCCGGCACTGCCCTGCCAGGACCGCAGGAAGGGGCTTGCTTTTGGGGTGGTTTTTTTTTTTTTCCTTTGGTTTTGTGGTGCTTTCTGGAGTGGGCTGTTTTGTTTTTTTTTTCCCCCTTTCTCTGCTCCGTGCTGTGCTTTCACAGAGTTCGCCGTGCCTCCCCCGCCCCGCCGCGCCGCCGGGCACCGGCCGATCATGGAGAAGTACGTGGAGGACATGGCACTGAAGGCTGCCAAGTTCATGGAGGATCTGTCCCTCTACGAACCGTGCCCGGAGGGTCCGTACGGCCGGGGCGGCCGCCGGGACATGGTGCTGCACCCCGACCTGGAGGAGACCAAGCGGGTCATTGCTGCCCACATGACGGCAGAGCAGAGGGGCCGGAAGATGAACGGCACGGCCGCGCCGCCACCCGCCGAAGCCTTCCCCGCCGCCGCCCCCTGCGGCAAAGTCTACCCGCCCGCGGCGCCGGGCGTCCCGCTCCGCGCCGCCAACGGCCGCGCCGCCGAACCACCGCCGGGCGCGGGGCCGCTGTGCTGCGAGGAGGGGCTGTGCACCCGCTCGGAGGTGGCGCTGCCCTGCTACAGCGGCTTCGCCGACAAGGGCAAGCGCTACTCGGCCGAGGGCTACCGCTACGCCGCGGGCAGCGCCTATGAGGGCGGCTACGTGGCCAAGGGCGGAGGGCGGGTGCCCGGCGCCGGCCCGGACGGCAGGTACGGTGCGTCCAGCCCGCGGGCCAGCCTGGCCACTTCCTCGCCGGGCCCCGTCGCCGAGCACAGCAAGTTCTCCAGCCCGCGATCCAGCCTGGGTGGCGCGGCCGCGCTACCCTACGAGAAGTTCTCCAGCCCGCGGTCCAGCCTGGTGGTACCCGGCCAAGAGAAGTACGGCAGCCCCCGCGCCAGCCTGGTGCAGTACGACGGGGCCGCCCTCAGCCCCCGCTCCAGTTACGCCAGCACGGCCAGCGACACCAGCAAGCACTCCAGTCCCCGCGCCAGTCTCACCAGTTACGACGGCGGCGGCGGCAGCAAGCCCAGCAGTAACCGCACCAGTGGCATCAGCATGGGCTACGACCAGCGCCACGCCAGCCCCCGTTCCAGCACCGCCAGCCAGTACTCCTGCACCACCAGCCCTCGCTCCAGCTACTCGGACTCTAGGTACGGCCCGCCGGGCAGCAGCGCCGAGCCGGAGGCTGCGGGCGGCGCTGGCTTCGTCTTGGCCAGTCCCCGCTCCAGCCTCTGCGGCCCCGAGGGCCGTGTCGCGGCTGGCGCCACCGTGGTGAGCCCCCGCTCCAGCATCTCCAGCCAGAGCTCGCGGAGCTCCCGCGGCTCCATGAGCGCCTACCCTGAGCTGCAGCTGCCCTCTCCCCGCTCCTCCCTGCTGGGACCCGGCCTGCAGGAGGACGGCGCCGCGCCGGAGCTGGGGGACGTCTACCACAAGATCCATGCCCAGTCCCCGCCGCGGCTTGACCAGCACCACGCGGCCGCTGTCCCCGAGGCCGTGCCCCCCTACGCCTACAGCCCGACCAAAGGCTCAGTTTCGGCACCCAAATTCAAGCTCCCCTACCAAGTGACGCCGTGCCGGGAGAGCGGCCCCAGCCAGGCGGAGAGGCGGCTGGAGGCGCTGACGTTGGAGCTGGAGAAGGAGCTGGAGATGCACATGAAGAAGGAGTACTTCGGTGAGTGAGCAAGGGCGGTGAGGGGCTGGGGGGCGGCAGGGTGCGGGACCGCGTGTGCTGCCCGGGCTTGCTCCTGGCCAGGCACCTGCTGGAGGCCCCTGTCGCCGCAGTTCTAACTGTCCAGCTGGTGTCGGAAGGACTTGCACCATAGCACGCTCCTGGTGTGTGGTCTTGTTTTCTATATAGTCTTCACACACTAGGCAGAAAATGCCGGGACATGTGGTGCTTCCCCTTCCACGTGCGGATGGGAGGCTTTTCTGAGGTGTTACAGGAGCTGTTTGTGCTTGCAGTGACTTTCGTGTGTCTCTCTTGCTCTTGAGCTTACTGATAACCTCCTACACTCCTGAGGCTGTGGCGTTTGACATCGTCCTCTCAGCCGTTTTGTGATAACTGTTACACATATGAGTGTGGCTGGTAAAGTAACTTTTAGTGCCCCGTTCAGTAAAATCCGTGTGTTAGTTTGGAGCAAGAGTGGAATCCTGGCTTTGTTTCTGCCCCTGAGAGCTTGAAAGGCTGTCATGGGTCAGCATCTTCCCAGGGATGGGAGTTTGGGCAAGGAGAGCCCTCTGTCCCTGCTAAGGTTAACCAAGCCCGTTGGTCATCTCCTGAACTGTTGTTGCTTCTTCGTAGAACAAAAGTAACTTACTGAAATCAGTGAATGCGTTTTGTAGTCATGCTAGTTGTGATTAAACTCCCTTGTCTTTCTTGTTTTGTACTGTGGAAAAGGCCAAGATGCTTTTGAAAGATGATCCTGGAGCATGCAAATACTGTGCTGTGGGCTGTAGATGAGCTATGTGACTGCAAGACCTAGGCAGTCCTTGGGAGCAGGCTGTCCCCAGCTCGATCATGGGGTGAGGGCTGTCGTGTAGGGGTGCAAGAGCTCCCGGCAGAGGAAGGATAAAGAAGCCTTGGAAAAAGGTCTGTGGGTGAGCCAGCCCCCATGTATGGCCTTCGAGGAGGCACTTACCTCTGCCTTTGTGTGCTGCCTTCATGTGTGGGAGCTGCTGCTTAGTGGCGTGTGATACGAGCCTTGCTGAGGATGGGTCATGCATTGCCTTAGTTGCCAATTTAAACACAGGGATTCAGAGTGGTTTTGGCATGGCATTAGTGCACTCTGCATGGAAAGGTGGAGTTGCAGGGCTCCTTGCAAGCATCTGGGAGAGGCTTGTAGTGAGAGAGACCTGGGCTGATAACCGGAGGTAGCTAACAGAGCAGTACCCTCTCCTACTAGGAAAAAATCTTTCTGTGAACTGCAGCAGCATCATTTCTACAGGTTGTTGTGCCCAAGGGAAGCTGAACACAGTGCTTTCTGCCTCCCTCCATCCCTTGTGGGACTGGTAAGAAAGCTAGTGGTCATCCATGGCATCTTTTGCAGGGTCTGGAAGCTGGCATGGTGCTCCTCAGCAGCTGAGGACAGTAAGAGTTTGCTTCTGTCTGTGCAGAAGCTGAATGGGAGGGCTCAGTTAACATGCTCACTGAGCACAGGAAACACTGCCTTCAGAGTTTCTGTGATACGCACTGGAGATTGGGAAATAAGATGTATTCAGAGTGAGAAACAAGCTTGTTCTGAGGCTCTGAGTGGGGTTTTCAGCGGTCAGGGGGGCTGTATGTGTGATCAGCAACTCCAGGAGCACCGCTGGGGAATCTGTTGCGGGTGGGTTTTTCCTAATTTGTAAGAATTTGCCAGTTTCAAGTGTCACTACTTGCAGGTATGTTCTGCAGTAACATGTTGCAGCATGCTGTGAATGTCGGCAGATGTGTCCTGTGTAGGATCAGCAGTAAGCTTGTGCCTTTATGCCTAGGGAGCATATATACCAGCTGCTCTGTGGATATTTGTTGTAGCAGCACAAAGACTGCTGCTGTGACTCACATTCTGGGAGCAGCTGAAACCCAGAAAACTGGGGTTCTTTAAAGGAGAAAGTTGGTTTGTGTGAGTTGATGAGGTTTTGATAAACCCTGGTGGGCTTGATCCTGCTTTTTTGGTTCAGATCACACATGCAGGTGAATGCTGAGCTTCAGCTGAGCAAGTGCATTGAGGGCTGGCAGGAACGACTGCAGGCTGACGGGTCAAAGACGAGGAAAGTAATAACAGGACAGGGAGAAGTCTGTACCTGGGAGGGTCTTACACACTGCTAATGAAAGGGAGCAAGGAGAAATGCATTGGTTGGTGTAGCAGTTCACACACAACTGCAGCTGAAGTCTTTGCTTACGTGTTCACTCCCTTGGTGCTGGTGTCTGGCATGCTCTGGGGGCAGTAGTGAAATGTTCTGTGATGCACGTGGAGAACCGAAGTGTTGAGCCTGGAGTCTAACAAGGTAGAGGGAGCAGAGGGGATAGTTTAATACTCCTTAATAAGGAGATGGTTTAATACTCCTTAATTAGATGAGCTCAATTGTCCAGTGAGTAAATGCTTATATGAGGACATTGGTAATTTTAGTGTTCTCCCACTGTTTCCCCTGTTGCACCCTCCCACTCATACCCACTCTCCCCCAAAAAACAAAAGGGGGTGAGGAAAATGAATTGAAAATTTGAGCAGTGTCTTTGAGGTCAAGTGACTAACAGGAGGAGGAACACTCTACCCTGTCTTCATTCTGTTTGTGGGTTAGTTTGAGTGTTCCCTAACCATGCTCGTGCTGGCAGTTGCTGACTGCTCTCCCACATCTCACTGCTCTTCTTCAGTAGGAGCCTGCAGTCTGGGGCAAATAAATAGGTGATGAAGGGCATGTCTGAGCATTGAAGAGGCTCTGGAGGAGCCGAGTAGCGTGCAAGCCAGCAGGTCTAAGGGACTGACAGCTGTGTCTGCCCATGCTGGTATGAATGGCTCTGAGCAGTGCTGTGCCGGGTGGTTTGCTTTGCTGCCTCACCTTCTCCGTCCTCCCCTCTCTTCCGGCAGGCTTCAGCGCATCTGTAGCGAGGAGGAAAACGCCCTTCCGCAGTTGGTTTAGTCTGACTGAAGATGACAGCGCCGCAGAGAAGCTCTCTGCATCTGCCCTAACCCCAGTTGCACAGCTGCAGGGTAGCGCCCTGCCACTTCCAAGTGCTCTCGCCAGCATGTTGCAGCCACATGGGCGCACTCATCTTGCAGAATGTGGAGCCTGCAGGGGAGGAAGGGGAGAGGGAGGGTTGTCCTGGGCTGGGTTGGTGAGCTGCTCCGATCCATCCCTGTGGATGAGGTGTCTGAGCTGACCTGAGGAAGAGGGTGCAAAGAAAGTGGTTCCAAGAAGTTGGGACTGTTCCCTTGGCAGCAGCCTACAGCTGGATTGGGTAAAGCTTGTGGCTGCTGCCTATGCAGTTCCAGCCCAAACTGCTTCCTCCTCCACCCTCTGAGACCTCCTGCCTGTCCCCTGTCTAGGTACTGACAGCTTAGTAATGTGCTTGGTGTAGTGGCAGATGATAAGAGAGGTAATAAGAGTATTTTCACTTGCTTTCATAACTATTCTCAGCTGAGTATTTGTATGTGATGAGGTGAATTGCCAAAGTTGTTTCAGGGATACTTTGAATTGAATGTGAGTCCTGAAGTGTCAACAGGACATTTGTGGGTGTTGGAAAGTCATCAGCTCAGGCGCTGCCTTAAATCCTGTTTTCTCTGCAGAATTCTTCGGTCTGACTACATGTTGAAAAAGGCAGTTTAAGGCAAAACCCTGGCTTTTGGCATGGTTATCCACATCAAGCAGTCCTTTTGGGACTGACTGTAGACCTACAGCTTGTCATCTGCTGGGCAGGGAAATGTCATCGTGTTGAACAGTCAGGCTGATTTGGCTGTTGCTTTTGAACAATATCTCTGTATGTCCTGTGGCTGTGCTGGCCTGTTGTCAGGAATGGAAGGAAAGCCGATGGAGGGGCGCAGGCAGCTATCCTATGCTCCTGGCAGCTCCTGCTGTGCTGCAGCCATCCTCCATCAAGGGCTGTCTGCTCATCATGGTCAGGGTGGGGGATCCAGTGCAAGAAGTCACTGGATTGTCTCACTGGAAGTAAAGAGGAGATGGAAAATGCACTGTGAGAAAATGAGGCAAGGAAAGTGTGTCTCGTTTCCTGCTTGTGCAAAGCCTAGAGACAAGCAGGTTTGCAGTCTTGCTGGCATCTTTCGGTACCCCCATGCAGTGCCCTTTGTGAAGGTGAACATCAAGTGCCTTCCTCCCCACTTTGTGGTCACCTCACCCCCTTACCTCCCACATCAGATATGCAGGATACAGCAAGTTCATACCACATGTGGTAGTGAGAAACAAGCTAGCCCTTTGCAGAGAGTTGTCACCTTTCTTACTTTATGCCTTTGTCTGACCCTTCTGTATCCCAAGGGAAGCAGCCCCTTTCTCAATACCATGCAGGAGATTTACCAAGCAAATCAGGAGTGAGTTATGTCTTGGAATGAGATGCAAAGTCTGGATCCTGTTAATAACTATAGTTACCTGTCTAGCAAAAGTCTGCTGTTACCCTAGCAAGTAGGCTTGCCTTTTGAGAGCTCCTGGATCTTTCCAGAAAGCCACCCAGTAGTACCAGCACAGGGTTTTTTGGAGCACCACCAGGAAATGCTGCTGGTAACATCCTGCTGAAAAGCCTCTGGCCTGGTAGGTAGTTGAAGGGAAGAAATAGATTCCTAGACCCATCCAGGACCTTTTTGCCCTTTGTGTGCGTAGTCATCCATGCAAATCTGGACTTGGTTTTGGGCCCTACACTATGCTTCTGAGTTAGTTTTTGTGTGTACAGGTTGGTGGGATGGGGAGATGTATATGCAAGTGAGATCAAAATTAAGAGAGACAACAGTGGTGAGTCCCTAGAAGCTGCATTGTTTAAAGATGAAATATGAAAATCTGAATGGAATTTAGGTGGGCTTGCAGTTGGTGACCAGAACACTTGATGTATTTGCTAAAGTGTTTTAAGCTTTCTTCCTGAAATATTAGATCTTTTCTATTTCCATGGAAATAGAGGTAACAGTTGATACATCATACTGTGTGTACCCCTGTGAACATCGTGCCTTGTGGCTTTTGAGGGGATCCTTATAT